ATAAATTATAAAAAAAAATTTTTTTTGTAGGTAAACATTATTTCTTTATTTAATTTGTATATAATAGGGTATATATTATAAAAGAAACAATATCTCTCATATATAAATATGAGTTAAATACTAGCTTACCTACAATAATTATATAACTAATATTGAAAAATTATAGAATATTTTAAAAAACTTTTAAATCAATATTTTATAATAAATTACCAATTAATTAATAATAAAACTTTATTATTATTATTATTAGAATTACAAAATTATTTTATTAAAGTTTTGTTTAAATTAAATAAATATTTATTGAATTATAATAAAAAATATTAGTCCAAAGACTTTTGTACTATACTGTATATATAATATTATAATTTTCAAATATTATTTTTTATGGAAATTATTTTATATATTAATTTAATAAATATTAATATTATAATATTAAAAAAGTAAAAAAATATTTGTTTTTAATTTAATTAATTTAATAAATATTTTTTATAATACTTGATATCTTTTTATAAAGAATTAAAAATATCATATTTTAATTTAATAAAAGTTTTTTTTATGACTATTTTTTTTTATGAAAATATTTTAACAATTAATTTTAAACAATAATAAAATTATAAAATTATTTAATTATAAATATGCTTTAAATATTTTTAAGTAATAATAGAATAATAAAAATATGGTAGTTTATTGAATTATAAATAATTATAAGATTTTGTTTTTGATAAAATTATAAATAATTTTAAGTAAAGTTTTATTTATCAATAATAATAATTTTTTTTAATCAATTATTTATTTTAATCAGTTTTTTTTATTAATTATTTTATTTTATTTTTATTTTTAATAGATAAAACATAAATAAAAATTTAAATACAAGTTAATAAAATCTTAATATATTAATTTAGATTTTTATTTTCAAATAAGTTAATAATAACAAGTCAATATATAAAAATAACTTAAATTAGACTTAGATATAGTTTTATTATATATAATAAATTCCATTAATATATAAACATGAGATATATATAATATCAAATTGTTAATAAAGTAAAACTTAAAAAATATATTTATAAATAATTGTTATTCAATTTAAGATTAAATAATTAATTTTAATAAATATAATACAATCAAATTTTCAAAATCAAATTAAATAAACAAAATATTTAAAAAGGGAAAACTTTAAAATATAATAACAAGATAAATAATTTGAAATTTAATAAAATTTAATTTGAAAACAAAAGTTGTTACAGTTTAATCTTTGTTTATTTGAAAAATAAAATAAAAAGATATTAATAAAAAAATATTTGTTATAGCTTTATAATATTAACCAAAAATAAAAAAGAAATTATTGAATGTTTCTTTGAAATAGGAAATAAAGAATTAGGAAAAATATTTATTTTTAATTTATAATTTTATTTATAAAGTTCACAATAAAAAAAATATTAAAAGCTCAAGCTAACATTTAACTTATTGTACTCATATATAAGAGATGTTGTTTCTTTCATGATGTATTATACAAATCAAATAAAGATATGATATTTGCCTACTAAAAATATAGACTGTATATATATGTATATTAAAAGCTATATTATAAAAAATTATTTATACCTTATTATAATTAACTGTAATATTTAACAAATTGTATAAATTAATATAAATAATTTTTGATATTCAAATTTCTTGATTAAATATAAATCGACATAATAAACATTCATTTATTACAAGTGTATGTACCTAATTGATAATTTTTATTGTAATTGAAAAATTGATTTATAATTACTTATCAAAAAATTGTTAACCAGTTAACATAAAAAAATTATTTCTTTTAAAAATCAATTCCTTCCTTAAACACACTTCACAAGAAATTGGAATATACGCATCATGTGGTTACCACGTCACTTGGGCAGGGAAAATCTGAATTCGTTAAACATGCAAGTGAAACACTGATAAGAATGATTAAATGAAGGAACCAGATGATATAAACAGCCCTGTTATTTAAAAAAATCGACTAGGATGCAAAATACACGAGACTACCACTGCGGTGGATCCGTTAAATCGGATTCCGCCATAACGAGCAATACTTTATAATAATAATTAAAATTTCTATTATTACACTACAATACGTTAAGATGACCCGGAAGATTTGTTACAGACAATTGATAATTTACGGAATATTATAATTGAACGTTCAAATCACAAACACCCATCATATCATCATGTTAGCTAACTCGCCTAGCAACCTTTTCGCATCCAAACTATCCTCCTTGGCTTTATCCAACCAATAAATGGCCCTCTCAATGTTAAGTTTCGTCCCAAAACCGTTAATGTAACAAATACCGACTCGACATTGACCAAATGCATTACCATTTTTCGCCGACCTCAAGTAATACTCAAAAGCCTTCTTTTCATCTCTAATTTTTTTGTCGGTTCCCACTCCATTTAAATGACAATACCCCACATCAGTCCAAGCTACGTCCAATCCACCCTCCGCAGATTTCAAAAAAAATTCTAAAGCCTTCTGGTCATTTTTAATTGTTCCTTTACCATCAAAATAACAATCACCCACACGATGCATCGAATTTATGTTTCCCCCTTCAGCAGCTTGCAAATACCATTCGAAACCTATTGACTCATCTTTTTCTGTTCCAATTCCTCGTTGGTAACAGTACCCGAGCAAAAATTTTCCTACAAGATTTCCCTTTTTCGCCGAAGCAGATATCAACTCAAACGCCTTTGATTCATTTTTTTCAGTTCCACTGCCTTCGTAGTAACATTCCCCTAGAGTCACCTGAGCCCTAACTGATCCTTCTTTGGCCAATATTGAAAGCAGCAGAAATGATTTGACATCGTCTTTTTTTACGTATTTTCCATAATAAAACATTGATGACAAACAGAACTGACCAATGTAATGGTTGTGCAATCTAAATGATTCCAAAAGTGACAAAGAATCCACTTGAGAGGTTGACACGGTGTCCTTGGTGGCCTGCACGTAATTCTCTAGAGCCATTTTATTGTCAACGGTTGTTCCGATCCCAAATTCATAGAAGAATCCGACTAGGCTGGTAAAGTATATTCTATATGGACATTTAAGTAATTGATTAAATATTTTTACAGGGTTCTTTTTTGCGTTTACTATATACTTTCTAATTAAGCAATGTACAATTGGTCTATGTTGCATATTAAATTGTTCTATGAAATATTGGAATAGATTCTTTATGAAAGGATCAACCTCGAATTCTTCGACTTTATTATGTAGACATGAGGTTTTGTTTTCCTCTGGAACAATCCCTTTTATTGATGTTTCTGTCTTCCCGAGTTTCACCGACACCTTCTCCGGTTCGATTTTGGAGTTTGTCTCGAATGCCATGAAAAATGCGTTTTAAGAGAGAACGAAGCGACACAAGCTTTGGTTATATCTGATCATGTTACGCAAATTAACAAGGTTTACCATGTGATCAGCATCGGCGTTTATGAATCATAATATAAATACGTATGCAAGAATTTTTATTGAACAAGAAATTGCTATATTTCGAATACAATGTTACTCA